TAAACGATCTTAATAACGATCTTAAAGTTTATTCCCAGTGACAAAACGACAATAAAATCTATGTCGAATCGATGTTGATCTGATGATTTCGACGTCGAATCGATTTGATGTTGATTCCATTATCACTTTTCACTATATCTATTGTATTTCGGGTAGTCAAGTATGGATTATTGGACTTAATTTATTTTAGATTGTTATTTATTAATTAATTACTAGCAGGTAAGTTATAAAATTACATATATTTCATTTACTAATTTACTTTCTGTTTTTTTTAAATTGTGAACTAATTTTTCGAACTGGAAAAATTTAAATTTATAACACTAGCCGTTTTGGATTTTCAGAAAATCGTTCTATAACTTCCACCTTTTAATTCTTTCCTCTTTTCCAAAATTATACAATTGTGAATAAATCTTCTGAATACTCATTAAGCATAGTTTGTGAATGTGTAATATTTTGTCGTTTAAGACTTAGGACTAAGGAAGGTCCTTCTTTGGCTATGCCAATATGAATAATAATCGCAAATTAAATTAATAATTAATTTAATGGTTTTATTTTGTAATCATATTAATATCTTTTAATTGAAATATGGCCGTATATAGCACAGAATGAAATTTGGGCTATTAATTAATAATTATATTGACATCGATCATTTGTGCATAAATCTATTTGTTTGCACAAATATTTTAAATAATGAAATATTTCAAAATAGATTTTTTTAATGACTTAAATAATGAGAAATAATCCAAAAAATGTGACTAGGATATGTAGGGGCATTATAAAAAAATAATCGTTTATATAACCGATAATTGTTTAAATAATCGATAATTGTTTATTTTGAAGTAACAGTAACTGTTATAACCGTTAATGAAAAATGACCGTTTAGCCCATCCCTATCTTGAAATTCTATAAAAATCACCATTGGCATCGGAATTGTCGAGTTTTGCGGTTATGTCCGTCGATCTTTACACCTAATTTCTTAGGAAAGACAATATAGGGCAGCGGCGATCGTTTACTTTTCTTCCAAGAGTCCGGAGGAAATTGAACTCGCCGAATTTATATCGGTTTTCAGGGAAGATGGATAACGGGTGAGAATGAATCACACACTCTCCGACACGCCATTCAATAATGTTTTATTCCAGATCCGATCTATTCTCTCTCTTCTCTCGCCGCGCTCGTTACAATAGAAAAGATATTAGTATTTCTTTCTCTCTCTCTCTCTCTCTTTTTTTTTAAATATCGCTTTCACTTCGTCTTCGCCGCGAGAATCGGGCGAT